TTCTTGCTGCGTCCAGCCACGTCGCAGTGCAGAGAAAATGGGAGCAAAATATCTTTTAGTGTCAGCAACAAGCACATCCCGCTTGACTGGTAATGGTTGAATCAGTAGACAATCTGAGTTGTTTGAATCAAAGTCACATGATGGAATTCTTGACAAGAAATCGACATGAGGAATCATTTTTGCACTACGATGAACTATTGTGTAGGTGTAAGAACTCAGTGCAATAATCCACCGTTGCACCATAGCGGCAGATGACTTCGCCAGAGACTTTGTTGGATGATACAAGAACTTCAAAGCCTCGTGATCAGTGGCAATGGTAAAGTTAGATCCAAAGAGATATTTATGAAGCTGTTTGACAGCCCAATATACATCAAGTGCTCCTCGTTGATTCTGAGAACATCCACGTTCGGCTTTTGAAAGTCGACGGGGAATGCAGATCGCTGGTCTACCACGCTGTTCAAGGATTCCTCCTATTCCACTAGGAGAAGCATCAGTAATGATCGTCGAATGATGTTTGGCGGAAGGTGGCTTCAAAACAGCTAAAGTCTGAAGATAACCAAGCAGTGCACGCAATGACTTCTCGTGGTTGGCGGACCAAGAAAATTGATTGGAAGATATGACATCAAACAGACAACTTGCATGTTTGGCGAAATTAGGAAAGGAACGGGAGTAATACAGGAGTGCTCCTAGAACTGAACGCAGTTCTTGTAGATTGGTTGGTAATGGCGCATTTACTAAAGGGGATAGACGTCTTGTATCAGGTTTAAAACCGCTGTCATCCACAATGTAGCCAAGGCATGTAAATGATGGGACACCAAAAGTGCATTTATCAGGATGGATAGCTACATTGACTCAGAAAATTGCTTCAGTAAAGACAACAGACGCACATCATGCATAGCTTTGTCAGAAGCGTGCACAATGACGTCATCTTGGTACGTCTCAACGCCCTCCGAATCTTTTGCAATAGTATTCATAACTTGCTGAAATACAGCTGGTGAAACGTTCAGACCAATGGGAAGGAAATTGTATCGGAATAACCCAAAGGATGTATTGATCACGGTAAGGTTACTGGAAGCTTCGTCCAGTGGGGTTTGAAGATAAGCATTTTTATATCGATTTTTGAAAACACACTTGAACCTGATAAACGATACAGTACATCTTCTGGCTCTTCCGTGGTGCATGTACGTTGTAGTAGCCGCGTATTCAGCGTAAGCTGGTAGTCACCACAAATTCTCGGAGTAATACCATCAGTCTTCAGTGGGGTAACCATCGGAGTTGCCCAATTTCATGACTCAACAGCAGTCAGTATCCCTTTCGCACACATTGAATTTAATGCTTGACAAACAGGCTCGCGTAAGCCAAATGGAATAATCCGTCCCTTAAGAAATATAGGCTCTCCGGTAACCTCTAACCTCCTCTTGGGAATTTGCGTGCCACCTGAAGCCTTAGAACATTTCAGAATCAGTTGTTTGAGTTCATGTTCACTCACGGAAGTCAGTAAGGTGATACTGGTTTGCAGTGAGCGCGGAACTTTGAGTCCGATAATCGACCGTCCCGACGTTCAAACCAAAAAATTACAGTCGATAGAGTTATCTTGGGATAACCTCACAGGGATCGTGCAACCACCAACTAAAGGTACAGAATGACCAGTGGTACCGAGAACGTCAAAATCTGTAGGCACTATCACGGCACTGGGGTAGAATGCAGTTAGATGTGAGTGTGGAATGATGGACTCAACACTACCAGCGTCAACAATGAAGTCATGCTTTTGACCAGAAGCGGATATCAACGGAGCAATGAATAGAGTATCAGTCATTTTCATCACACGAAGGCGATCCGCTTAGTGTCGGAAGCAGTTTGAATGCTCCCAATGACTGCTGACATGGTGTGCCAGGCTATCGATCAAGACCCTGTGCTGCAGCAGATCATCAATTATCACCACAATCAGTGGCAACGTACCTGTCTAACGGATGAACAGGAACCTCATTTCAGCTGATTGGACGCATCATTACTGGCCGACGGATGCATTTTTCTTTCGGAATACGTTATCATTTCAAAGAAGTTACGACCAGCTGGCCTGAATCACTTTTATAAAGGGCACCCGGGACCGAACATGAAACTTCTTGCTTGAAGTCACGTCTATGGGCCTTTGATGGATTTCCAATTTAAGCAAGTCTCCAAATTTTGCCTGCGATGTGCTGAAGCATCCAAGCCACCTGTGGAGACCTACCTACCAATGTTGCCGCAACCCACTGAATCCTAGATCCGTCTTCACATCGAGTGTGACGGTCTAGTTGGTGGCCAACACTTTTGATCGCGTTCGAGCCTACAGCGAACGACCGGGAATTTCCCCAGCAAACAGCCTCACAACTACCCTATCTGTCCTGAAACTCCAACGATTGTTCAGTCGCTTCTTAACATCGGAGAGTTTTGTACGATAACGGTAGTCAGTCCACGTCATCGGCGTTCTCGTGGTTTTGTCGGTAGTACGGCAAAACTCATGTCCGCTTGCTCACGTTTCATCCACAGTCGAATTACCAAGCAGAACAATTCATTGACACTCTGAAGCGTGCACTTCGGAAGTCCAAAGTAGGTAGACCGACGAAACGAAAACATCCCTGTTGGCATATTGAGCGACGCCAAACGCTAACTCGCCTGATGGAGTTTTACCAGCAGATGAACTGTTCCGACGTAAGCCATGGAGACCGCATGACACTATCCGACCGCAGGAAAGGTAAGTGAGTATCGCAAGAAGAGAATGGAGACCCAGTTCATCCGGCATCATGGATTATCCGCGCGTCCATTCAGCGAAGATCAAATGGCTTTGCCTCGCGGCTACAGTTGCAGGCCCACCAAGTGGGTTCCAGGACACATTCTTCGCATGCACGGCAAAGCGTTTCGAGATTTACGTTGGCCCAGCCAAATGGATCCGACAAACGAACTAAATCCGGCCGACGAATGGGCAGGTCCTGCTCACCGCGCCGAGTGAACTGAGTCTAGGGATATTTCTAGACACTTAATTGGAGCACCTTGCCGAAATTTCATTAGCTGCTTTGTAGGGGGGCCAACCAGACAGGATATGCGAGCCAGCAGAGTCACTGCAATCAAACCATCGACTTCAAAATCATGTCAGCAAACTCCAAAGACTAGGTATTACGCGGAATTTTACACCGACACCGCTTCACCACTCGCTTCACCCAAACTGGCATGCTAAAACGTGTGTTGCTAACCTACTTATCCATGTGCGTTCGTGTTCTGCCCTGACATTTTCTGTTGTGATCCTGTGCGATTGCATTGTCAATCAGAATCACGAGACTAGCTCTGGAAGGGGTCAACAAAACCCATAGAGCCGAGCCAATATTCTTCTTGCTACAGTGTACTTGCTTGTCAGCGAAAGACTTGCATACTCGCTGAATCCATGAACGTGGGCAGTCAGGTTTTGTATGATGTTGTTCACCTTTGTGGAAGTAGTGCCGTAGACATTCGAACTCAATTCTTGATTTTGATATTCGTCACTGTCAGGCCTATGCACGACTCAAATTCCGCATTGGGAACCTCGACACTGGAAGTTCCGTCTTGTGTATGATATATTAGTTACTTTGGGTGGGATTTGTTGGGCCAATAATCATGGCACGTAACTGAATCACTTCTGCATAGTTTGTAAAAGCTGCGATTTTTAACCGAAATATATGCCGTCGACCGTGCAAACCAAAGAAGAATTTGGTGACAAAAAGAACAACTAAATTGGATATATTTTTATCTGACTTGTTTTCCAAAAGATATCATGTTTACACAGGAAAGTGCAGAAAGACATCAAGACCTTACAACGGGTTACACGCAAGTGTGATCAACTTTTGGTAAGAATCGATGATATGTACATACATTTGGGTATACTGATACACACAGAATTGTGTCGTTTTAAGAGGACACACATTTATCACAGTCACTTGCTAACAATATCCATAATTCTTTCCACGTAGCATGCCAAATCGAAAATTGCATTCCAAACGCATCACCGATCGTTTGTTTTTCGTGGCTGCGTATAGGTGGCAAGGTTAATAAGATGGTCAATTTATTTGAAAAAGTGGCACTAGGCTTTACCAATCACGAAAATCCAGGGATCATAAAATGTGTTTGTGGATTTCGTCATATTTTCGTGATACATTTGCCCCCAATCAGCCTGAGTGCCATCTCCAGCGTGCTTAAGTATGGAAAGCATGGGGCACTGTCGAAGCGCCGCCATTACAAGTAGCCAGGTAGCAGAAAAACAAGTACGCTGCAGGATTCAGCCAAACCACGTCTTAATGCATCAAACAGAGTAGCTCAAGTAAACCTCCATGTAACGACAAATCCAGGGTACCCTCAGTGAAGATGACTGCCTGGAATACAGACTCGTAAAGTGAAACTGACCTGCATTGCTGCATTTGTAATACCGACTAGAACGCAATGTAGTATAAATGGTGACGTACAAATCACGAGCATAATCTTTGAATTTAACCATAAACTTTCCCCGCGAGACATGAAGTATTCGTCTGCAACTTACAGCACTTGACTCATCTTATCTTTTGCACACGGTTTATGGGTGGAGTATGGAGTATAAGAAACATTTTGTGTATATCAGAAGGACCATAGAATTTGCATGGAACAAAAGGCTCGCAGTATCGATTTTTTCCAGCAGTTAGGTTGGTCACGTTAGGTTAGGCACAGAATCTAAAATGTCGAACCATTCAAATGGATAATTATCAAAAATGCGGTACTATGAATACAATGATAAAATAATAAAGTGATGCGAACTGCGGATCGTGAGATCACGTTAGATTCTAACAACCAGGCTGAATAGTTCTAATTTCATTTGGCTTTCTGCACACATAAGGAAGGTAAGAAACACTTCCTCTACCCGAAATTCACCCGAAGCCAAGTTCACACGAAGCCACACGGTGAAGAAGCTCACTTTGATTTATCCAACTATGCTAGTAATACCAAAGATATAGAGTAATTAACGTCCAGATCGTGAACCAGAAGAGAAGAAATGGGCACAAAAATGAGGGGCATAAACGAAACCTCCTGATGGGCTTGATGAGGAAGGAGAAAAATAATAAACAACCAGAATCCAAAACCTTAATTTATTTGGTAGCTTGTCGGTCCCGTTGTATTTGGCATTCAAAACACAGTGATCTAAACTCCAAACTGTCCAAATACATGTGCTGTCAAGTATACCTTTTGTCTTCAGAACATGCACATAAACAACCAGAATCCAAAACCTTAATTTCTTTGGTAGCTTGTCGGTCCCGTTGTATTTAGCATTCGAAACACAGTGATCTAAACTCCAAGCTGTCAAAATACATGTGCTGTCAAGTGTACCTTTTGTCTTCAGAACATGCAGAACACTCGCAACAAATCCGGCTACGAATTGTCAGCTTCGGGAAGTGGCATGAAAAATTTGGCAGCCAAACACAAATGATCTAAACATTCACAATTTAAATTGAACCTAATAAGTGGTGGTATGTTTCAACGGGATTCTTAAACGACGCAACACCTTCGGCCACACAGGAGCACTAATAAAGTTTGGTAGCTTCGGAGTGCCCGCAAACTTTAAGTTTGTTTAATTACAGATTGATGGTTTCCAGGATACAGTCGTTTACCGAGATTTAATAAGTAAAATAATGTCATCTTCGTTTTTTATCTGCACTCCAATTACTTTTGGACGTACTGCTGCTGTCATCAATTTAATGAATGCAACTAATTCTACTACCCTATAGAGTTCTCAGTGATCTTCATTCATCAAGTTAAATCAGTGTTATCGGGTCAAATTAAAAAGACTTACAACTAGCAATTTCTCAACATTTCGCCACTGAGGTTCCGACAGTGTGCGCCGACAAGTTTCTTCCAAATTAAAATTATTTACTAGGATTGTCAGGATATTCTGGCCACAAATTCTGAAAGAAATGTAGACGTCAAAAAGAAACAATAACTGGGAATAATTGAATAAATAGCGAACACGATGCGATCTTCTTTTTACAGGGAATGTTATTCATAAAAAGAGCAAGTGTTACTAATTGGCTGACCGTCACATATACCGATCCATAGTCTTCAAACACCTAGCGACTGCGGCAAAATTAAAAAACCGAGAAGCTAAGTATGGCTGGTTTCTTACCCTGCGTCCTCATCAGGACAGGAAGCTTGATTCGGGTATTAGCAAACCGTTAATTATGAATCAGTTCCGCTCAGCTACCAAACTGGTAGTTATTGCAAATAGAAAATAAAAATAGCTGAGCCGTAATATTGCGAATGATGACCATGGTGACCTTTCAGCTTCCACCCACCACTTCGGTACCTAGCAGTCACGCCGCTTGAAGAAAGCAGAAGGGTTTTGATATTGTCAGGTCTTCCTTGCCTATACAAGAGTCGTAGGGATGGCGGACGTGGGTTCCAATGACAGACCTTTCGATCAATAAGTTTGTGTTCTAATCGCTGAGAGTTATCGAGCTCCACAGGACTGTCGGTTTAAAAGGCTGCCCAAATGGATGCAAGATGAGGTTCTCAGCTATTGATTTAGATTTTAGCATCCCAGAACCCCTTCGTAGATAAGAAGGAAAATAACTTATTCGAACAACTGTTACAAACAAATTCAGTGATGCGAATCAACCGAGCTCCGGACTGGATGCGATTCAGTCACTATACATACGAGATGAATATTCCACTAACCAATCGTTTGAGTAAACACACAAATACAAACGCGAAAACCTAATGTTGATGTGCATTTTATAGTAAGATTCTTAACTGTCTGCAAGCGCTGAACTGTAGGAAATCCAACCCAAGTTTTTCATTTTATATTTAATTGGATCCATTGACCTATAATAAGGTTGGTTCACATTCATGATAACCTATGCGGTGGCTCTGATTGTTATAAAGGACTGTGTACCAAAATAAACAACAGCAGATTAAAAATAAGCCCCACTTCCTCACACAAGTTTCAGGTGACGTCTGATTGTATCCAACAGAAATGGGCTTATTTGAACAGACGTTTCGCGAGATATTGTTGGACGCAGAAAATAAATGAGAATGAGAGGACGATAAAAATATGCTTCGCAGCACAGCTGAGCTCGACTTCGCGTACCGATGGCAGTCACATCAAGCCAAATTTATTAGTGTCGTTCATTTAGTGCATCTTCGTTGTGAGGATTTGGGTTCCAGCTATTTCCGTGGCCAGTAAAAAAGGCTCATAAAATAAATGGTAGGTGACTTCCACCCTCCAGGATTGCTGGACATATCCATGAAGGTGGCTAGTCCAATTACATTAACCGGACAGATTCTGTCATTTTGGTGGACACAACGGATCGTGAGAAATGAGATTCTATCGGTTATTTTCCTCATTCCCATGTACATTTGTGGCCGAAGTTGTGGGTGGTTTTCACGTCATAATCTTGCCTGTAGTCAGCTTGTCTTCCCCAAACGGGGAACCGAATTCAGTGCATAAGCTGTCCTGCTAAGAATATCAGGTGAATTGATGGAGGGTAAGACTGCCAATAAATGTGAACAATTATAATGTAAAAAGTGGATATTGTATCCACTTTGGTGAGCCAAGATACCAGAACTACCTTTGTTTTGTTGGAGAAATTCGAGGATAACCAAGCAACCAGTCCGACGGAGGATGATTCGGTGAGTGGATCACACAACTGTTCATGTGGAAGGATCACAAAGCACAGGAGTCTTGGGATGAATACTAACCATATATTTCATCTTCTGATAACATCATCAGGACATTGCTACGTTCTGCTTTTCAGCGACGCGTTTACATGTCATTACGAATGGTAACGAAGCTACCATGAAGGCCCATTATTACTGCCTTCACTTGATGAGGCGTTTCGTTTGAGTCAAGGATATTGACTTGACGATGTACAAAGCAAACATTTATTGACCGTTTTAGGAAGCATGGTTGAAGACAAAAATTCTGAATTGTTTTGGTTTCGTCTAAAGGCACCTTTTGTATTGAGGGTTGGGTGTTAGACCCTCCGGTACACTTTATTTTGGCCAACTTTTTCCGCTTATAGTGACAATGCAATAAATAACGAAACCCAGGACACTTCAAGAATGTTTCGTTATATCTCACCTTGTGTTTAAAATTCCATCCACCAGAAACTGAGCTGACACTTTCAGTAACCGTTGCAGTCCATCGGACCCTAGTTGTCTTGGCAGCGATGACGTATTTTTGGCTTTTACGACCAACCGATCCAATTGTGTGGCCACCGCTAGTCGACTGTTGGCACTTTTGACCTTTTGTTCGTAAACCTGTTTAGAAAGTGCCACGATAGCGCGTGCTGGCGTCAGACATTTTACAACCACCTCTAGGGCTTTATATGCATCGTTTAACAGGAACCTGGTACTTGTATCACCGGTAATACGCGCAAGGATTGCATGCAAGATTCTGTCTGCCTGAGAATCCCAGAGGAAACCCTGACCGTTCGAAATGAGTAGGTTTCCAAAGGCTTGTATCGTGTTGACTGCTGCGCGACTAACCTGCAAAGCAACATTACCGAAGTCGTTAATGGTAGAAAAAACTGTGATTATTTCTATTTTCTGTGAGACGTAGTGAATGTCGATGACTGCAAAATATTCTGTTTTTTAGTAAACCCTAAACAAGGCAAGACTGACCGCATCATCTTCATGTAGCTCTACAAAATATTAGATTGCGAAAAATGACGACAGCCTATTACCAAATATCCCTACTTGAGACTGTCCAAAGATTTCTTTCATATTATGATTAGCTTCAAATGAAGAACAATACTTCGGAATCTTTGAACATTTACCTTAGGATATCATAAAGGGAGGATTCATTCAAATTATATTTAAATCGTTCGCTATCATCAACATCTACATACTGCTTATCACCAAGTATCCCACAAAATATCTTCGTCGAAATTAATATCTCTGTGCAAGTTTAATAGCCAGCGTTTATGTTCAAACCATTGCGACGTTAAGGAAAATTGTACAAGTGAATGAAGTTATCCAAATTTATCCATTTTTATGTCTACCAAGCAGCATGTTGTAAGGTTCATCGTTTTCGCGGCAGAACTAATAACTTTGGTCTGGTTCGAACTGCCTGACAGGTCTGTCAGGTCTGTCTTCGATTCCGTACAAACCGCTGCTTGAATTTGCTCGCCAATATCATGCCAAAGCGTCTTCACACACTTACTATGTACTGAGAAATTCAGGGTTTTCAGAACGAAGTAACTAGTGAAATATCGGTCGAAGTGCACCATCTGGAGATCGTTTCGCCATTAAATGGCGTTAATGGACGACTTTACAGATCATATTCGACATGCCTAGGTGAGTAGTGATATGAGCTGTCAGACTGCGTTCAGAGGTACAAAGGCGAAACTCACTCGAAACTAAGGCAAATTCCTGCATTTCCAAGTCCAACTAATATCCACAACGGATTATTGGCAGACCCGATTAGCCTAATACCTTCCAAATCTGCCATTGTTTGAGAGGACCTTGCTCTAACGAGGGCTTTTCACCGCTTGAAAGTTGAAAATTCCTGTTTTCTACATATTTTACGAAACCACGACTGGTCGGTCAGAATAAAGTCAGAATAAAATCATACTTGGTGGTTGATGTTGATGCAAGATATTCCTACATTATCTTCTAATAGTCTTGTGCAGTTGGGCTACCTTCGAGAGACGATAACCGACTAAATAACTTTGTTTTAAATTGTCTTATAAGAATGCTTATGGTCGCCTTTGTCTGTTTGCAAAAAGAATTTTCGTACTGCTACAACCACTGTAAAAACTACAGACATCTGAAAGCTGCTTGCTTCCTCATATAGGTCAATGAACAAAATATTTATAACCTACTACGGATATCAATACCTAGAATAAACAATGAATCTGCCCCTCTGAAAGTCCCAAAAGACCAGTCAGAAGATGAACCAGACTGTCTTGTTTTCTCTCGCAGAGAAACAACGTTATACTCATTCAAATATGACAAGAAATTCTATAAAACTAATAGGGCAACTCCTGGGCCACATACTGCTTATGTTGGAATTTACTGCTTGCTTTCCTTAGTGGTCGGTACCCTGCTTGCAAACACTTTAATTTATTTCTATTCATTGTTATGCTACGGACAGTGTTTGCACTAAAGCACACCATAACCAGATACTATATCTTTGGGCCGCAGTAATAGTGAGCTTGCTTGCCTTATGCTGTTTTGTGGATGTTTTTGTACAACGCTTACCTGAGAACGTAGGTTCCTGGAAGCACTCAAAAGTGCCGAAGTAAATGCTCGTAGTTCTTCCTCATTCTTAAAGAGCCTGTCAAATTCACCCCTGTGCTCAAGCTGTAGTGAGGTTTGCACACGTCTCAAGCCCTCCAGCTGTTTATCCCAATCAGGTGCCCGAAGTAAGTTCAAGCAATGGGAGATTTCATCACCACTTGATTTTTGGGACCAGGTGTTCTTTGCACGTGTCCTGGAACCCGATTCAAAAAAAGTATTCAAAAATGTTTCGAGCTACTTGCAGTCAAAATTTGGTAATATCGGTCCTATTGAGTTGACAACCTCTCGCAATTTATTTTAGAACCGGGCCACTCTGTATACAATCTCTGGATATGGTCAGGCTATTTTTTATTCCTGTGACCAGTCACGTGTACATTTCAGTTCTGTAAACTAGTGGACATGCCTCACTTTGGCACCGCTTTCAGTGTGCATTTTTAGCTCCCATAAACCGCCCACAGCCGTTACAGACATGCAGCCCTACAGATGTAAAGAAGCCTCGTTCAAAGTTGTGGAAAGCATAAGTGTAGTAAGGCAATGTAATCTCATTTTTTGAGGGTTGTTTGTTGCTTGACTTGATATCGGTAAAGTATGAGGGAAGAGAGAGACTTAACAATAGTGCATGGTACAATTCCGTTTATGTAGTAGGTAATAGTTAACTCGTTATTCTAAAGTGAAAAACCACGACAAATCCCTGCATTCATTCATGTGTTCATCTCCAGTTTTATAATTCTGTGAAAAAGAGTGTGAAAAATCAAAATCTTGACACAGAAACGTCTTGATTTGCACTGCCTAATCAATATGACCATTGTTCCGATCACAGCAGATTTGCATTTTAGTAAGTCGCGTACAAGGTTACGGACCTTAAACGATCTAAAAGCCTGTAAAACACAATAAAATAGGCCTGTGAACGGTTGTGCCCGACCGTCAGACTGAATTTGACTGCACAGTCAAGTAGCAACGGCGAACAGTGATAGGGATGTTTATATTTTTTATTCAGCATCTTAATTTTGGGCATGATTAGTGGGTATGAATGAGCGGCTCTTTGGGAATATAATTTTGGTCCTCCAAGTTCAGCAGTTTTTGGGTCCTTCAAAAACCCTTATGCATATATGCAGGCACTCCTGTGGGCTGTGAAGGTCCGGATACCGTCAAGCTTTAATTCTCTATGATTTCCCTAAGTTCGCTTAAAAGCTTTTGAACCTCGAGGCAGGTCGAACTCTATCCTGGTTAGGGTATCACCGATGAATTATACGCAATCCGCTTACGTCGATTTGCGTTCCCTGAATATGGATTACTGCATCTCGACTACTATGGTCAGTATACCATTGCCATTAAGGGGTCATTATTAATCAGCCCCCTTAGACCCTAAATCGATAGACGCAACGGTACACCCAGAGGGCTACTATTGTTGGGGGTTCAGCCATACTGGACTCCCCTTCTTCAACGCGGAAATCTGTTGACACGGCACAGTAGAACCCACAAAATTGATCAATCCGAGACACTGAGTGACTATCCGTTCTTTATGGAACGCCGTCCCAGCAGTTACTGAAAGCAAACTACCGTATTGGACACTCGGTGGAGAGTTGGGGATCTGTAAGGACAGTATTCAATCAAAACTCTTAATATGTTACTTGGCGATGGGACAGATTGCAAATTCTAACATTTATTAAAACGTGGTGAATGAATCACCAAAACTACACCTACGGGAGCGTTTCTAATCTCGCCAAAATTTTACAGGTAGACGAGGTCAGGTCGAACACCTGTAGTCATATTTAGTGGCTTCAAGCCTGTGCCTCCGAATGACACATCCCCCAGCCGATCTGAGCAGCTAGCAAACTATATTTTAGTTGATTCTATTCTAACTGGTTGCCAAGTTTTTCAGATGGCCAGTTGAATATTGTTGCATAGTTGGAATATTTACACCTATTTTTTACCAACGGAGAGCCTTGTAAATTTCATGCAAATGGCTTGAAAGTTTATCAAAAGTTCACACCACAATTGCAGTCGAACCCGGTCTGAACAAGGTGTCAGCTGGTTGGACCAAGAACCACGTCGGAAATGTCAGTTGTGTTCCACCTGTGATCAACCCTAGGTTGACAGGAATATTTGCGGAGATCTGCGAACCGTTAGGCCACATAAATTAGATGAACATTTATTCACTAAATCGACGTCCTGGAACAAAGTCAAAGTTATCTTGTTCCTTACAATTTGTTGTGACCAGAATACTAGAGATTAATCGTCTAGTCCCCGTTCCGGATAAGGGACCAGTCGGCTAGAATTAGCACCAATAATTTTTGTAATTTCTCTCGTCATTCAGGGCCAGCAGCAAGACAGCCCAGGCTTGTAATTAATCAAGTCTACTGCAATGTGCTCTGTGAACTCTGCTGACAGAAATATCATAAGCGCATATGATGTAATGACTATATACCGGGATTAGGTTTCGCGGATATTACAAATATATTACCCCGTAATTTCGGTTTATTATATCTTTCTTTCCGAAGGAACCGCGAGCGCTGTTGCAAGCCGCACCGGATACAATCATTTGGAGGGAAAATTTTTAACTGGCTGTTCATGCGAAACACATGCTCAGATCCCATCTGCACGGGTGATAATCTTGCACGTGTTTATGCAGATCCTAACCTTATCATTATTAATATTACTATTATACTGCATACATATCACACCAACTGTATTGCGTGATGATTCACCCAAAGAAAAGAAATCACGGGGAAACGGTGCTCTGGTCTCTCCTAAGCCTATACTTTTCACTAGAGTTCTCAAACTTAGTCTTTCCAAAATGGCTCTACTGAAAATGCCTTGTGCAGTAAAAAGTAACTCAGCTAAGCGAGTCGTGGTAAAATAGTCAAGCAACCAAACACCCAGGTGCAAACTGTGCGATGATAAACAACTTTTTTGACTTCTTGATATCCTTTGTTTTCACACTTTGTTGCGAATGCATTCGGTTGATGACACCAACAATGCGATGCGCCGTGGTTGCCTCCTTGTCAAAAATTGTTTTGGCTAGGAAGAAAAACAGTAAATTAAACATGAATTCGCCAAACTATATGCAGCAAAGCACCTTAACTGCTTCTGTTCGATCGTATTTGGTGATCACAATAAACTTAGAACCAGCACCAAGTAAACGCAACATTCAAATTAGCCGCTTCAATCTACAGACGTTGACCGATTATGAGATTCCTTATCAACTTCTAAGCGTAAAAGGTAGAACTTGCTTTGGCTTACACCTTCGTCACACCAACTCGGATAAGATTCAAAGAGGCGGTTATGTGCCACTGTAACTGATTATCATTTAAGGTAATGAAGAAATATTTACTATCAAGATGATACATCTTATTATTCACACATGTAAGGTACATCGTGCAACTGCTGAACAGTTCAGGAGTGTCGGTTAGTTGGCGGGCCGTGTGTGCCCCAATGAAGGACCTTTTCCTTCGAATCACGGTGTGCTTTGCCACCCCCAAACCTCCTGTCAAGTTTCACAAAAAGCAACAAGTTCAAGTGACGCATTCGGTCCGTGATCATTTCAGTCCGTTTCGTTTTGATGACATACACTTCACATGATTTCAACTGTAACAGTCTAGATGTGACACACTTGTTGAAACTTCTTGGTTCATTACATTCCCCCTGTTGCCTATGCCGTAATCTTCCTTCCGGCTACAAACGTTAAAGGATGCAAACGGCACTTTGTTTTCTCGACAGAGATTACTCCGAGCGAGTCGACCCAAAATCAACCGGTCTTAAATATTTCCTAACAAACACAATAGCACGGCAGCAGTGGTCTACAAAGACTGATGATTCCCGAGAGAGGTTTACCAACTGGAGTCACAGATGAATTCTCCCAAATCTAGTTGAATGGTCCATTGTAAAAAAATAGTATATTCAGAAAGTTTTTCACGTTAAAAACACTTCAGGTCACTTCCGTCTACATCATCGTTTGCTGTCGTCACATTTGGGAAAAGGGTCCAAGCAAAATCTAATGTAGACCAAGAGAACGGTATTTCTACTGAAGGTGACTGAACACCTTATATCACTTGGCACTGGACCACTAGGTTGGCAAAATTTTGTTAGGAATCAAACACGCGTTCAACGCTGTCCACTTGTAGGAGCTGTGATGCGATTGGTACAAAGGTCTTGTGCAAAAAACGCAAGCCTATTTGTTACAGTGGATACAGAATTCCAGCTCAGTGCAACCAGTTCACGTTTTTCTGAAGCCGTAAAAAGTGACTATGAGCAGTCATGCTGGAGTGGAGAGTACGTTTGCAAAAAGTAGAACGCCCATTAGTTTTAATTCGTTATCGTATTCCTACAGGCCTACAGAAAGAAGCACACTAAATGATACTTTTTAGTTGTTCCTGACAGCTTCTTCCTGGACTAACTCCATCTCATAACAGACCAGATGTCCACAGACAGTCTTTAATGGTCAATCTAAGCACACGATATTATGCTGTGAAATTTCAAGGTGATTCCGCAAAATGACGAAAAACGTGTCCCCTAACGTGGCGAATTGACTACAGTGGACCATGTGCGCTTCTGACCTTCTGTTCGAGACACAGGAATTTGTTCTGATCGCTCCGTCTTCAAAGTATCCTGCTTCTGTGGTGGTTGATCCGCGCTGTCCGTAACCGGATCGCTGAGGAAAAGGAAATAATTAGAAATTGATTAGTTGGAAGCTATTTGCCATTTTTTCCAAAAATTTATGCACAACTGAGGGAGAGTTATGGTTTACAGGACCTTAGGTGATGTTCAATAATCTCCCAAGTTATGTCTCCTTGGGACGAGTGAAAAAAGATTTTGGTAAAGAAAATGGGTCATTATTCACATGTGAATCTTTTGGAGATCGATCTCATATAATTCACAGAAACTAAGCAGGGGTGGCTAGGTGTCTGACTACAGAGTTAGAAAGCGTAGTTAAACGTACACAAATTTGCTTTGACTCATGGACTAGTTTCCCAAAAACTGAACAGGTCATTTAAATTAACTTCTGACAAGCTCATACTGATATCAGTTAGGCACCAGTAGCATTTATAAGTCGTACAAACCTTCGCCTGAAAATGGCTTGTAAAATTTAGCATTGCTGCAGTCATTCGTGCATTGTGCTTATTATCACAACTCACCGGCAGGTAGCATGGGACCGATTTAGATAACATTCATGGATCACCTCTTTTGTCCCGTTCTCAGAATCCTCCCCCATCTGCAAAGTGCAAATGCATGTCTCAACTTATAATATTCCCTTTACTCAGAACGACTGGGAAAAGTGGCAGCCATCCACATGCTTAGAGGAAGGAGCCATAAAAAAGGAAGTAGAATTTCATAGCCATGAGGAAAGAAATTTTAAAAACGGTGTCTTTATAAGCACGCATGGTCAGTACTTGATGGCAAACATCGGCAGCTAATGAACACCTTATTTTCGGATGAATAGCATCTCACAATTGGAAAAAATATACTATATTCAGAAGTGTTCTATTCTCGGAGTGATTTTTTTCACTATTATTCAATCAGGTGAAAAATGCTTGGAAAAGATTGAGTAGTCAATATTACTTTCATGCAACATCTTGGTGAATGGACTGAGTAAAAACTTTTGAGTCCAACTATTTTACTTATTGTATGGAATTTTTACGGCCACAGTTAGCATAGATTGTCAAAAGGAATAAACTGCACTCCACTAACCAATGTGGTCTACATGTTTAAGGAAACGAGTAGCGGCTGACCTTAGCATAATTCATGGGAATCAAAGCACCTAAATTTCTTGAGGTGTTCGAGAAACCTGCCGGACAGATGCTCACGTTATGAACGACATTAAGTGCTCACGCGTAGATGAGAAGGCGCTTTGCAGTTCTTCTCGCACAACTGAATTTTGGTAAAAACTGCCTAACAGTAGAATTCCGGAATCTACTTCCTCTCTATAGATATTTTGTGCTGTGAATTAAGTGATACCCATTGGCTGGTTTGCTCCAGCAATTTTGTTTCCGTTCCTCAAAGTGGGTTCAATGTTAGAGAGCTCTAAAAATCATAAACAAATGGCCGCTTTTACCAGTAGGTGAAGCTGGTAACCGTCCTGCGTTTACGCGGTTCATGTATGCATACACTCGTCAGACATATCTCTACCTTGAACTCACTTCCATTGTTTGCACTGAACTTTCACTTAAAGGTTGCAGGCTGCACATGCTTTTGTCAGAAAGTTCGATATCGTTACCAAGCTGAGGAGGTTGCGCAGCGCTTGCTCCGTTTTTCGAATGGTTATCAAAATTAGTTCGTTTTTTTCTGTTTGCGTAATCGCAACCAAAAAATCCCTTGGTCTGATGAAGCGCGGGAAGTTCACCGTTTCCGAGTTCCGATGGTGACGCGAGCGTTTTGTACCGTGCGTGAGGCAAACCTCTGAAGTGTTTTGCTGAACGCTGACAATCACTTCGCAAGTTTTGGTAAGCCTGTTTCCATCCATTATGCCTTGTTTCAGATGCTGTATCAAAAAAATAAAATTCCATTTCCCCGAACGGTCAGTAAATGTCTTACATGTGTCTTATATGTCTTACAAAGCAAAAACTCGAGGGACATTGTGAAATATCTATTTCAACCTGCCTCACAATAAGTTCCTTCATTCTAAGGTGATATTGTATCTCCCGTTCAAGCAAGTAGAAGACCACAATTAAGTCGTCCACCAATTTGATACATCTTTCGTTGTTTGCTTCTGTAGTTCTCTGGTATCCAGACGCTGTTATGAAAATTATGATAGGCAGATCCCCTTAGTCTCAGGGTTTTTTATTGAATTATTTTCTTATCTACTTTTATACAATGAACTGCTTCGGTCTTTGATAATTGCAGCAGCCATTAGGAATTTTGAATTGATTAGCACAGTAACCGCTGAAGATGCGGGATTACTATGTTCGTGCGCGATGTCCTCACATCTTTGGAGCGTTCGATCGGTTAAACCCACATTAATGGAGCACTATTTTGAGCCCTAAAGAAAGCAAAAGCTGAGTGCTAAACAAGACCTTTGTTGTGACTGGTGATATCAGTGGAGTCTCACTAAGCTAACTCGCCTAGTAGTGTGTAGTAATGTGAAAAATTTGATATGTTCTACACGTAAAGTCATCCTGTATATTTTTCATATTTCTGGCTTACTCTCGAAAGTGGTCATGCTTTTATCGTTAACTGGTAGCAGAAGCATTAGGAATCAGTCGCTAAATAAGCACAAGTTGATTTCTTCCCAAAGCTTAGAAACTGCTTTAAAGTCACTTTGTCACGCACGCAAAATTCATCAGAGATTTAAAACTGATAGAATGAATAGTGCCTGAAAAATATAACCTGGGTTAATACGATACTGATCAGGCTAACAATATTCGCTCCCATGTCGCACTAATGGAAACAAAGCGAGACAGTATCATTTATACGTGGAAACCAGGTTTACTGCCTCGGTATGGAATTGAATTACCGACGCAGCCCCAAGATAGTAATTGCCCACATCAAGGGGCAACGGTATATATGCCAACCTAATGTTAGAGCATTGACTCATCACTCGTAAGCATATATACGGGGCTGACAACTTGGATCTCAGAGGCCTATCTGTGACAGAAAGGTGATTCTTCATCGCTTCTGATGGTTTTTGAAGCCCTCAGATCAAGATGTACTGAAATGTTAACTGGATGATCAGATTCGGTGAGAAGTGCCAGTACATCAGTGATTATGTGAACTCCGATTTTTATCAACCGCCCCAGGATACTACACGATGTTGTGTTCAGACAGACCATTAGTAGTAAGGTCGACGTAACTTGTCCGACCGGGACTAGCAAAAGAATAGATATTGGAAGGAGCTTTAAAATTAGGCTTGTTACGCTGCGATCTGGCCCGCCCAGTTTAACATCTTATTCATACGGCTTTGTTTAAGATGATGGTATGTTCTTGCCTTGATTGGTTAATTTTTCCCGTTAAAGGTCAGTCAGAATAGCTGTTATTTATAAAACTTGTTTCATAAAATCATAGTCTTCTTTGCAAAAACATCTTTGCTGCCTATTATCTGGGCCCACTCTTCAAACATGAATGCATGAATACCCGTCCCACTTCATTTTATCCGGGTAAAAGATATTAAGTATGTATGACCATGAGCTGCCCCGAGGTTGCAGCATTAACTGAGAATTCCTTTAGCTTTTTATCCTCTTAAGCTAAAAATGAAGCTCTGAGTGTGGACAAAAATGCGGTCACTTTTGATTAGTACAGTAGAATTCCAGGTACAATACCCCAACTGACTGATACTTATATATAATCATGTCGTAGACGTAAATTGTCACGAACGCAATGGGTCTCCTTTACTACCAAGGTAATTTGCAACCGATTGTGCGGTGCTAATTATGTATAGTCTAGTATTTAAGTAGAGCTTAAATTTGATTATGATGGCCTAACCGACTGGCTCCAGGAATAGCTAAACCAATGCTGGTTGTCAGAGGGTTTTCAGCAATCTTATGTGTAGTTTTTTGTTTCAAAGAGCTCCCTACCAAATCCAGTGAGAACCATATCTCGGAATTCGCGTCGGCAGTAAACTACAGAACCAAGCACTTTTGTGTGAAATAGAAAAGCACCTAGTTCAATTGTGCACAAAATGATTGGTTGAATGCTTATGAGAATGAAGGTAAGAGTGCTTCATAAAATCCCTGTTACTACTAGATTTCACTATGTGAATATTCCATTAATTCTGTTGGTAGCAGATCTCAAGAAAAGGATTAATCATCTTAACAGAACTACGATGTACTTAGCTCACAAGTACTGTGAATTGAGCGGGCAACAAAGCTTTTGCAAAGGACGTTTATTAAGTGAATTTGCACAACATTTCTACTCACTGTTTGCAAATATCGTCTGCCTGCTTGCAGTGGGCAAGACCACTTTGACACGATTTTCGTTTGCGTGTATTTCCAGGTACGTGCGTTGATTTTCATCCTTGAGTAATTACAACGAAATGCGATCACTAAAGATGCAAGGTCGTCAAAGGGATCATGTGCAGTTGTGAAGCAAATCACTAGTTATGCTTCCTAACTTTTGACTTTTCTTGACCTGACTCGAAATTGCATATCCTAAGTTAAACTATTTTCCTAGTTTATTCGCCAGTTTTGGAAGGTGGCAAGAAAACGGAAAATCACCTTGAGAATGAGTGTTATTTTGCTCGAGATTATGGTGCTCAGAAGCGATACCTGCCACAGAATAGTAAATGTTCAACGCATAATCGTTCCGTGATTTTTATTCAGATTTGGACTTATGAAATCAGCTAGTTGACCCGATTTACAACAGAGGCCAAAATGTTTGCCTTGGGGAGTTGCGTCAAAGTCAAACAGTTTTTGATCAATGAAGCTGTTCGTCTGTCGGTTCACACCATGTTTTCTTTTATTCCCACGAGTGCGAGTCGCATAACGGCGTTTTTCGGAATAGTGAGCCACACTTCTGTCCCCGGAAAAAGGTGTACAACCTCTGTGGTTGATTTGGAATATGTTCAGTTCCGTCCAGCATACCTGCCTGGCCTCGACATGGTTCATTCAATTCTGTGACCGACTGGCACGTGTACCTTCTGCTTTTCGTTGTTGGTAACTACCGGTAAGAGGAATCATAGGGGACAAACTTTGCCACCCTCTTCCTTACAATAAACTTTGATTAGTGGTGAACATATGGTGAAATTGAAGAGTTTGCGTTCCATGAAAGTTATTTTGCTGGTTTTCTACTCCTGTTGCTTTCTCTTGTTGTCTTCTACCGTAATCTCTCCCAAGAATTCGCGGTTCTCTAGACCCCGTAAACTATTGTTGCTTCATTGTTTAGGAAACGCGTTGAATGGGTATTTGTATCACCAGGTGCATGATCATGAAGGTAAAAGTTTTCAAGGACATTGGGAAATTTTTCTCACTTTAACTGTGGAATCTACTAAGGCAGCTGAAGCTCACAGGACCCATGGTACTGTCAGTCAATGTGTCAGCTTGATTCATGGCATCAAAATAGTAGGTGAAATTTAGAAAATCTGCATCAGCTTAGAGGCAAAACAAGTAAAGCTCTTTAGGCCTCCAAACAAAATACTGTTTACCTGATATTTTTTCCGCGATCCGTTATCCATATTTGCGCCCCTGGAGTACATTCGGAGAAAATCATCCGCTTCGAAATAGGGAACAAACAGTTGGTAAAGCCAAGTCAGAGTAGTCATATCTGATCAGGTAGAATTTCGCATCCAGGTAGAACATACGCTCCATGGAAACTCGCGGAATACGTCTATTTGATGAGGTCGAAATAGTGCAAAACTGGTAGCGGGTTGTCTAGGAGTTTCGAATGAACCCATGGGTGGTATGTTGCTTCATTGTTTGGATCCTTTTGCGATCAGTTGTTAAGTTATTCAGATCACGTGACAACTAGGCAGGATCTTTTCAGAGTGTTATTTACATCTCCGTGGTTAGTCTGACAAACGCTCACTTATAGACTGTAGATTTTTCATCAAAAGTAATTTGGTGACAAGAATATTTAGCCGCATAAAGTCTTTCCTGTACAAGACCCGGCACATTGAATTAAATGGCCAAATATCTTGACCGTTCAAAGATATTGCAACAGAATAAGAAAACCAACCGTCTTTTTGAAAGATCCATACGCATTTCGAGATCATAGGCACACCAAGCAGTCGTCTGGTGCAAGGTCTTCTGCTGACCAGCCTTAGGCTGCCAACCAAAGAATTACGTTGACTCTATGCGAAACTCGTGTGTTCTGATGAAACTGAAAGACACTTGGATGGACTAGTCACCATGTGTTCACCTGTTGTCTTGCTTTAACAGCCCCGAAACACTGAACGTTTCACTCGGGAACGATTTTAGCACCTTATTCTGGATTGCAGTTCTCCTTTCTTATAGCTTTATATTCGTGCACTTTATACACACAAATGGCTGAGCCAGGTGTATTTTATTCTTCTGAGGTTTTCTTCAACGCTTCAGCAGAGGCAGTGCATTGATAAATTCCAACTAGTGAATGCTCTGCCTCTGAATTTCGCTCTTAGGCACAAAACAAGTAAGAAACAACTGGGTAACTCACTTTTCGGAACATTCATTAGACTGTTTCTCACTTTGTCAAGATATTTCATCGAGCGCTTTTCCAGTTTTCTCAAAATAGGATCAACAATTGAGCAGGGCATTTGATTGTGTAGGGATTCGCTGATTACGTTGAATATTGCATCACCGTCAAACTTCGATAGTTCATCGTTGGTAAAGTTGTGTTTTTGCTGAACATCGAGCAGTCGAGATAGCGCAGCAGCAAAGTCGATTGCTGTATCTTGAAGCTGTGGTAAAGCAAGAGTGTGATTTGATGAGTATAAGTTCAAATGCTTAACATGGGAAAGCAATTGCTTTTCAATGATAATACGGATGAAGCCACCCCACACAGTTCCAACATATGTACGACAAGATCCAATGAAGTTTGCAACCGGCACACTGGAAATATGAAGGGTACGACGAAGTTGGCGTTGAGCGTTTTCGCAGAATGCCAGGATAAATTTTGTCACTCGAGGTATAGAAGGGTGCTTCTTGACAAAACCCAATATTTACCGTACCAGCTTGATTTGAAAACGAGTATATTTGGCCAGTGTGTTCAAGCGTTTGACAAAGTACTGTGAAAAACACATTTGGCTCTCCCAGCCGAGCAAGAGGATACCAGAGCTACGAAAACCGATTGATTTTTGTCCAAATGTAAATTTCAACTCTTGACTCAGAAGGTTAGATAGAGCGTTACTGTAGAAAAAAGTGTAACTCATACGACTTCCTCCTTATGGAGGACTGTATCATTACCAGTTTTAACCTACAAAGCTTTATTTGCTGGTGTGTTTCATTATTGTTGATAGCCGACGGGCCAAGAGAACCATGCATAAAATTTTGCCCGTTGTTGGATCCGGTCTTTCTGGTTTAGTTTGTCAGTGTCACTGGTACCGTTTGTTGGTCTGTATGGGCGATTGAGTGTTGAGACCCACCGATAACCTTCATCGGCGCCTAAGGGGTAAAACATAGGCTGAGAGCAGTGACAACAATTTCGCTGGGTCAGGTTTTCTATTGTAAATGTAAGCCAGTTTCCTAATGACAACTTTCAACTGACAACCTTACACAACAACGAGTCAACTGATGTTACATTACACTGGAAAGTTTGGTGATTGCTGCTGGTTGGTCTGCAGCCATTATATTTTGAATTACACTCCACGTCTCAAAAGTGCAAGCGTTTTCTACTTATTCTGTATCTCGTTTGTGCTTGCGTTTCCTCGGTTTTGTCACTTCCAAGTCTCTGTCCGACGCCTGATATACTTCTGCGCTTTTTTTTTGGGGGGGGGGGTGGTGGGTTTTATTGTT